AGAACTTGTCCGTCCCTTCTGGGTACGTGGGGTGGAACTGTGGGAAGGCACTGGCGGACGAATGGCACTCAAGTGGGGTTACACCTGCATCCATACTAGAGCAGTCATGTTAGCAGTGCCGAGTTTTGCTCACTCACATTTTAGTATACATCCCCCTGAGGCCACCCAACTGGAGTTAAAAGCATTGCCACACCTAAGGCCAGGATTCATGTGTGGGATGGGATTGGAATTAGGGGCAACACTTTTGTTAGAAGTTGAGTTAACGCTGCAGTGAGGACCCGCCCTATGATCTTCCCAGAAAGCCGTGATCAAGAACACTCACAGCAGCCAGAGCACCCAGCCGCCTTAGCCTGGAGAACCACCAAAACTCAGATCTGACGGGTTTCTAGCTAATGTGGTAGAGCTGGTTTGAACACAAGCCAAAAAAGGTCACTCTCTGGACGGATGGCTTCTGCCAATGAGTCTGTCAGGCTTGTCCTTAATCCAAACAAATTGCTGACTATAAGAGACTGAATATGAAGCTGGCACCCAACCAAACAGGAGGTTTATAATCCCGGGGCCGAATATAAAAGGAAAATTAAATGGGATCTCCTCCGTTAACTGCACAAGCCCAGCTCCTCCAGCCTACTCGGGGCTCTAAGTACTGGCAAACCAGTGTAGAGAAGAACTGGAACCAAGGGTGGAAAGCAGAGACTCAGTGATTAATCAACTTCCCTAGCATTTCCCATCTGAGGCTGTAGCACGTCACAATACTCCGCTAAGCCTCTCAGCCCCATGTGAGGTGGGTATTAGCCCCATTTCCCAGGTGCAGGAGGGGAGACAAAGAATTCCCCAAGGTCATGCAGCAATTGGGCAGCAGAGCTAGGATTAGAACCCAAGAGTCCTGACCCTGCCACTCAGCAAGCCACTGAGTCTCTCCATAACTTAGTTTCCCCTACCTCACAGGGTGCATGTATGAATGTGGGGGGAACAGGACTAAATCAACACATCTTCATCAAGGGTTTAGAGACCATTGGATTTTTAAAAGTGCTTTTGCCAAGCTTAGAATTTACTGATGTCGGACAGATGCTACCACTGTGCTCACCAGCAGTGCCTCCAAAACCTCCAGGAGTTTAAACCGAGACCTGCTATCCAAGCTCCCTACCACAACCAGAGAAGGGGGAGGAATCTGAGATCCCAGATGATACGCTGCAAATCCCATCTGCTTCACCACTCAAGGTAAACACAGGGAAGAAGAGAAATGCGGACGGTAAACACCCTGAAGTTTGTCAGGTTAAAAAAATATCAGATTTGTTTTAAAAATAACATGCTATACCTCGCTATTGCCTAGATTATTAAAACTGAAGGCACTTAAATCTACTTTTCACCATTTCTGCATCTCTCCACCCAGTACTGAAATTGGAGGAGTCAGTTTGTCTGCTTTCTAGTTGGTTTCACTTCCCGTTTCATGTACCAACCAGCAAAATGCAGAGAAATCTGGGTTGCAAACACTGCAGGGAAATCTTTACATCTAAAGAGAAGAGTTGCACAAAAGTATTTCTATTCATTTCAGATTTCTCAGGATTGGCTTTTTTAAACAAAGAATAAACCCGAGGTTTAAACATGCTGAAAGAGACTGCACTTGCTCTGACCAAGTGGTAAGAGCATCCCTCATATGCAGCCAGGCCTGCCACACAGCCATGCGATTTTAAAATGACTGCCTTGTTTTGGCGGCCACCCTCCTCTAGGTAGGCACCTATCACTCCATCCACTGCAGCAGGAGTTCTACTGATGGCTAGTCTCCTTTCCAGCACTAGCAGACAAACCGGAATGGCAAGGACTGTTTCTAACTTACTATCATCACCAAGTCAGCAACCTGCAAAGCATGACTCAGCTCTCTGGCCTGCATTAGAAAAAGCTGAGGAAGGCCCAGCTACCTGTGGTCATCCAAGATCCCATGACACTTTTCCCAGAAATCAGGGAGACGTCCTTGACCAATCATATTCTGCCAAGCTAAATTCCCCCTGGAGTTTCAAATGAATACCAGACATTTCACTCCCTGTCTTCCAAACTGTGCTGTGAAGTGTCAGACCAAGAGATCACTTAAATGCAGGGTAGTAATTCGGTTTGTAAAATGTTTTGAGATTCTTGTGGACAGACAGCCCTACAGAAACACCAATCCCTAGTTGGAATTTTTCATTTATAGCCATGTATAGTCTCCCTTTAAAAACAAAAAATGCATCAACCAAAACCTGAGTGTCGCTGTATAGAAGGACAGGTGCCCTTCCGCCCCAAAAAGCAACAAGAATTTTGCACATCGTACAAAAATAATATGAATTAGTACTAACCGAACATTTCTCAAACAAATCTCAAAGATGGGCAAGTATTTTCTTTTACAAAAGTTAATACAAAATGGGCAAGTATCATACTCATTGATACAGACGGAAAAACAGAGGGGTCCAAGGGACACAGCCCACTTGAAATCTAGCTAGTTTAAGAATAAACAAGTGAAGACAGTTTCAGACACAATCCTTACCCCGACTGCCCAGGCCAATTTTTGTTTTACAATCACTTCTCCCCCCCACCCCACCCCGGTTTTACTGTGTGAAAGGCCAACAGACAGAGAAACTGACCCGCTCTATCAGGGAAACAACGAAACTGACCCTGAACAAACTGCTGACAAAGTCACAGAGACCAACCTTTCAATTCTAGAAAGCTTAGGCACTGTTGGTAACAATGGTAGTAAAACATCCCCAGACAGAAGAGCGATATTTAAGCTGGTCTCTTTCTCTGGGACTTAACACAGGGGAACTCAGCGATCAAGTCTCCTATCTGCAAGTCCCTGCTTTAGAACACTGCCTCTCCTTTGCCATAGCACAGTATTTTACAGCAGCAAAGAGAGTTCTCAGTTAGCCTCTAGTTTCCAAAGACGTGAGACTGTGGGGTACAGCTGCTCCTTTGTTCTTTTATCTACTTTCTTAGGACTTGATTCAAACTCCCTTAAAGCCAATGGAAAACCTCCCACTGGTTTCATCATTGGCTTTAACAGACACTGGATTGCATCCTTATTAAATCAACCTTATTGAGACCATCTCAAAATGCCTAGATTAAATAAATTATTGATTACAGTGAGATGGGGCAGGACGGCTCACGCTTGTCTACACTTCAAAATTAGGTTGTCATAGCTGTGTCACTCAGGGATGTGAACACACACACGCGCACCCCCCGTGACACAGCTCTGCCAACAAAACCTGCAGTGTAGATGCAGCTATGCCAACAGACGAGGGCTTTGTCGAGGTAGCGAATGTCATTTGGAATGGTGATGTCCCTACACTGGCAGAAAAACTCCTGTTGGTGTAGGCTGTCTACACCCTAAGGGGCTATGCAGTGTAGACACACCCTCAGTTTGGACCAACTGGGCATCCAACTCTAGCAAGTGAAGGTCCGTGTTATGGAAATCCTCTCGCAGGAGGCCTGCTCAAGCCCCTTGAGGGCACACAGCAGGAGCGACCCTGCTTTGACTGGCTTTTCCATAACCATTTGGGGCTCCCTCCTGGGGGATTTCTGCCCTTCCTACCTCCTTCAGAATCATCTCTTTGCATCACTTGGGACTTTATCCCATTTGCTGGTGGAACAGTTCCCCCGAAGGTCATTACGTCTCCCATTTGCCCCTCTCGGACAGTACATTTGATCTGGTTGGGTCTCTTGACCATTGATATCTGGTACTTTGGCTTTATTGAACAGGGCTGAGCGATCCCAAAGAAAAGCAACTTACAAATGGGTGAAATGAATACTGCTCTCTTAGACAGTCACTGGGTCCAGACACATGGGAATGATGTAAACTCTCTTCCTCATTTTAAAACCCATGGGAAGCAAACACCCAAGTAAGACTCTCAATCTAGCGGAGGTAGCAAACCAGGCTTTAGATCCAGCTTTACCAGCATCCCATAAGGCCCTGGGGCCATTTCACTGCCAGTTAGAATTACTCCCACCAGAAATAACAAGCCATAGAACAGAACCCACTCCAAGCTGGACTCGGCTCCTTCCCAGGCCTCCTCTCACCACTGCTGTCTCTCCCAGCATGTGCAGCAATGGGGTACGCTGTGTCACCGGACGGATCCTGAGGTGCAGAGGCCAGAGGAGGGGAGAGAGAAGAGGTAGGATGTGGCGATGGGATGAGTGGAGTCCGAGGAAAGTCACGTGCCGTGGGGACACTATTTGCCCTCGCCAAGCCTCACTCAGAACGAGCCAAGCTCTTCAGGCAGGTTTTTTAAATCTCTCCCTCTCATGACAAAGAGTGGTTCAATGAGACACAAGAGACACTTCCTTTCAAACTCTCCCAGCTCTCAGACTTGGGGCAGGGAGGGGTGGGGGTACCAGCAAATGCAGCCCCACCCTCCACCTCCTCAGGAGCATCTTCACTGAACCGGGACTCGCCATGGGTGCAGCTTGCAGTCGCGGGGGACCAGGGGGTAATGAGCACCAGTGGGCCCAGAGCACTCGCTAACACGGCTAGGCCAGCTGCCCTGGGCATGGGGGGGCATCTCCAGGCTGGGGGAAGGGCGGGGGCGGGGGGAAGAATATGGACTGATGTGTCACTGTGGGGATGGCAGGGACAGACTCGGGCCTCAGGCCCAGCCCCACCACACACACTTACCCCACAGTTACCAGTAACCACCCCCGGGATGATCTGCCAGAGCAAGCCCCCCCCCCCCGCACCTCCTCCCCCTCCCCCCACTCACATACCACCCCCCCGCCCTCCCCATCAACAAGTCTCTCCCTCTTCCCACCCCCCACCTGCCCCACACACACACCTGCCCCTCCCCCACAGACCTCCCCCTCCCCCACTGGCCCTTCCCCCACACACCTGCCCCTCCCCCACACCTGCCCCAACGGACCCCTACACACTCCCCCCCCGTCCAACGGCCCCTCCCCCAACGCTCCTCCCAAACACTTGACCCTCCCCCTCGCCCAACGGCCCCTCCCCCCCGTCTCGCCCCTGGGGGCTCCCCCCCCCTCACCTTCTTCACGGCCTGGTTGAAGCCGAACTCCCCGGCCTCCTTGAGGTCCAGCCAGATCATGGGCATGCGGGGCACGGCCTCCATCCCGGCCGCTCCGCCGGCGCCGCTCCGCGCCCGGAACGCAGCAGGCCCGGAGCCTCCCTAGTCCCCGCCCCCGGCCCGCCGCGGCGCCTCACCGGAAACCGCCCTCCGGAAGTCGCCGCGGCGCCTGATGGGAAATGTAGTCCTGACGCTGACTCTCCCCCTCCCTTCCTGCTGGGGGGGCGGGGCACAGGCTCCTTCCCTAGGGCCCCTCCCTCGCTACTGGGGGGGCGGGGCACAGGCTCCTCCCCTAGGGCCCCTCCCTCGCT